TACGTCCCCTGGCCCCACCTCGTGATAATCCCACTCGATCGGAGAGACGTACGACTCGGGTTCGAGGTACACGGGTCGCCGTGGCAGGGCCAGCGTGAGAATGACGAGACCCCATCTGAAATTTGACACGATCTCCAGCTGCACACATCCCACGAAGGCCGAACCGTCAGAATCCGAGGCGCGCTCGTCAACAGAGGTCGGCAGACCCGAGTTCTGGCTCACTCGAGTCCTACGTACCCCCGACGAGCGACTTGACTACGGGGCCCACGCAGGCCCCGACCCTCTCCCCAAGGTCTCCTCTTGCGACGCCCGAGAGGGGCACAGAAGCAAAGTGCGCGACGCCCAACAGCACCTGCCGTCCAAGACCAAGAGCAGCCGCTGCTGGCCTTAAGTCGGGCCTGTCCCTCTACAGGGGGAATATAAAAAAAATGTAAAAAATAGTCGGGGGACGTTTTTTGAGTATTGTTTGACTATTTGGAAGCATGTTTGAGCATTTTATATTGCGAAGGCCTTACGGCCGGTGCCGCCGACCCTGTTCGCAATGCGCAGCAAGAGGCACGGGCTGTGGGATGGTTTTGGGGAACGGGGAGAAGGACGAGAAGGTGGGGGAGGGAGGTGTCCTATCTGACCCGGGACTTCCCCGGGACTCCCCCGGGACCCCCCCCGGGACCCCCCCTCCCCCCCCGTCGGGGAAGGGAAAGGGAAGGGGCTTCCCTTCGACTCAATTACGACGTTGCTCAAGGTCGGTACGGGGGGGGGGCGTCGTATCTGACCCGGGACTCCCCCGGGACCCCCCCCGGGACCCCCCCTCCCCCCCCCGTCGGGGAAGGGAAAGGGAAGGGGCTTCCTTTCGACTCAATTACGACGTTGCTCAAGGTCGGTTCGGGGGGAGGGCCGTCGTATCTGACCCGGGATCCCCCGGGGACCCCCGTGACCCCCCCTTCCCCCCCCTTGCGGGAAGGGAAAAGGGAAGGGGCTTCCCTTCGAATCAATTACGACGTTGCTGAAGGTCGGTTTGGCTAGCGCGCTTGAGGAGGAGGCCCTGGGAAAGGGCGAGGGGAGCGGGGAGGAGCCCAGGGGAAGAGGGGTACCAGGGAAAGGGAACGACAGAGACGACGATTACAAAGAATGACGGAGATGACGGCTCGAACGGAAAAGCCCCTCACACACGCCGACAGGGTCGGCGGATTTTTCATCGAAAATCCCCCTGTAGGGGGGCACGCCCGACTTAATGCTGGCCAGGGTGCGAGGCGGGGATTTATCCATACCCACCGCCTGGGAACCGACGCCCTGGTGCCCCAGCGGGCGGTGGATATGGATACAGTCGGCCTTGATTGGACAGGACACACGAGAAGACACAAGACCCTTCCGAGGGCGACATCGCCATAGGAGTGTAAAAAGGCACGTGTCGCGAGGCACAGGACACAAAGGTACCCTCGAGCTGGCAAGGTCGACCTTCTAATCCGGGCCGCCTGCATGTCGGCCCCCGGGGGCCCGAATATGTCCACATCCACCGCCTGCCGAGGCTCCGAAAACGGACGCCGCCGCCGCCGCCGCCGCCGCCGTCGCCGTCGCCGTCGCCGTCGCCGTCGCCGTCGTCGTCCGTCGCCGCCGTCGCCGCCGTCGTCGTCGTCGTCGTCCGTCGTCGTCGTCGTCGTCGTCCGTCGTCGTCGTCGTCGTCGC